TTTTTTTTCTCGATTTATACAAGTTTTTCTTTATTTTACATCATCACCAGCCTTTTAATCCTCACATAGCATTCTTCTATGTGAAATAAGAATAAATTAGATAACATGATTTTGTTTGACTTAACTAAAACCTAAAAGAGATCCGATATTGCTGCGAGTCAGCGCCGACAGACGCATCGTCACTCCCTATACGCTATTCGCGACTAAGGAATCGATTCAAGAAACATTTTTAAGTACATCCACGAATAATTGAAGGACATTTTCGCGAATCAACAACGGGCAAAATGCTGTGTGCGGCTGGCTCCAATGTTCTACCCTTTCACTGGTCCGATTCTCTCTGTTATTCCTTCCATCTACAGCCGCTCCTGTCTCATGTGTCAGTCTCTGTGGGCTCTGCCTTGGGATGCTACTGCCCCCTCCATTCTTCCGTACTCGCTTCTGTGGAAACTATTACTTTTCACCCATTACTCTTCACCAAATTTTCCTAGGATGTTTTTTCTGGCGTAGAATACATCATAGTCGTCCAGACAACCGAATCCTACACTGGAGATTTTTTTTTCTCGCTATTGAACCCTTGCTACAAGCCCAAATCACGAATTTTCACTATTTTGCTTTATTAGATTTTCATGTTCATACCTCTGGATTTCCATTACTCTTCACCAAATGCTTCTAGGACTTTTTTTTCGGGCGTAGAATACATCGTTGGAGTCCAGCGCATCACATAGGTCAACTGTAAATCGTTTCGCTGCGTTTGGATCAAGGGTGCATGATACGGACTTGAAATAGTTCCCACGAAGCAATGATTTCCGCTCCGTTCGTGCTTCCTACACGATCTTCACATGGTTTATCTAAAACTTTTGCTGAGAATCCCTACAGCCTCATCCCGACCCCCTTTGATAATTCTTCCGATTTCCACCATCATTCCATGAAATTATACATAAACCCATCAGTCTCTTTTCTAAATTATATATAAGTTGATCAGTCACTAAGCCATAACTTTTTCTTTTTTCGGCGCCTCTGGAACACATCGTGGCCCATTGAACAATATACCTCCCACGTTTACAGTCCCACAATGTAGCTCCAACATGAGTCTTCGCTAGTCTGATCGTGGGACTCAAAGAGGATAGACCTGAGTAGAGGCCCGGATCGGGGGGCTTGACTGACTCCAAAAATGTTAGTTGGTACCCCACGGGAAAGGCGGCGTCCCGGTCGAATTGTCGGTAAATGTGAGTCGGGTGCGTGAGTAACTCGGCAGTAGCAGTCCCGCTGTGACTGGGACAAATTCGGAGGGTGACTTTTGTCCTCCTTGTACTCAATGTGTACTTTATGTTTTTCAGTTGATTTATTCGCCGACTAATTAATATTAAGGGATGAAACAAAGACTGTTCAATGGAGAATTAAATTCCCCATCCATCAACCCCCGTTTCATCCCTTAATCTCTGCAATAAAA